CGACAAGTCCAAGTATTATTGGTTCCACAGGAGCCAAAGACACATCACCGAATATTGTATCCATCTCAAGGATGCCATCGAAATCTTAATCAAGAAAGGGCACTTGAAGCAGCACACCAAGAGGAATGAGTCCCCTCGACAGGAGGCCCGCGAGGTGAAGAAGGTCAAGGAGGTAATCCCATCCTCCGGCAACATCGGGCTGTAAGTCACTCTGTGTGTCTCCCGACTAAAGGACTTTTGCCTTCCCTAAGAAGTGTAGTTCAACAAATGTAGTTTAAACTAGCCGTTCTTGTATTGAAGAGGATTTGCTTTGTGTTACATCAATAAAGTACACTAATGCATGAATCCTTGATTTTTGGTGCTTCTGCTTCATGACATTGCACCATGAGTGGTTTAACTCGTTTAAATTAGGTTATTTCGGTTTTATCTATTTAGGTGATGATAAAACTTGTACCAACACTGGAAAAGGGGAAAATTAAAATTGTGATGGATGATGGTGGCATGCACATGTTGAGTGAGGTGCATTATGTTTTAGAATTGAGGAAGAGTTTGATTTTTCTTGATACTCTTCAATCAAATGGTTATTCATTATGATCAGCTGGATATATAGACACTGTGAGGGTTATTAAGGGTGGAATGACAATGATGGGGGAAAGGAGGAATACATGCAATATTTATAAGTTGTTGGGGAGTATAATTATAGGTGTTATAGAATCTGTTAAAATTGATAATGATGCAACTAGATTATGGCACGTGTGTTAGGTTTATCTCAGTGAGTGTGGGATGATGGAACTATATAAGAGGAACTTTTTGAAGGGTGTTCGCAGTTGTATAATTGGATTTTCCAAGTATTATGTTCTTCGGAAACAATGTTGAGTTTGTTTCAAGACCGGGAAACACATGACCAATGGAATCTTAGACTATGTCCATTATGATGCTTGGGGTCTACAAAAGAGTGTTGCATTGGAGGTTTCAGGTACTTTGTGACATTCACTGATGACCTTTCTCGTAAGTTCTAAGTTTATTTTATGAAATATAAATCAGAGGTTTTCGCCAAGTTCAAATTGTGGAAGGAAAAGGTTGAGAACCATACAAGGAAAAAAATAAAGTATATGTGGTCTGATAATAGAACTTAATACACTAGTAAAAAATTCATGCATTTTTGTGAGGAGAATGGAATCCAAAAGGAAATTTTTTGCAAGGAAGGCACCACAACAGAATGGTGTTTCAGAGAGGATGAATAAGACTCTAACAGAGAAGGCAAGGTGCCTTTGGTTGAATGTTGGTCTTTCAAACTGTTTCTAGGCATCAACATTCATTATGGCATGCTATCTACTCAACAGATCACCACGAGTTTCATTGGATGGAAAATTTGAAGAGGTGTGGACAGGTAACCCTATTGATATGAGTAATTTAAGTATTTTTTGGTGTCCAACATATGTGCATATTTCTAGTGAGGATCATCCTAAACTTGACCCCAAGTCAAATCAATGCATCTTTATTGGCTACAATAAAGGTGTGAAAGGGTACAAGTTGTGGGATTCAATTAAGAGGAAAGTGGTTATAAACAGAGATGTTGTATTTAATGAGAAATGAATGTTGAATCAGTCAGATGTGATAGTTAAGATAAATCCTGAGATAAAACATTCCATTTAGGAACAAATTCAAGTGGACATCGAGGAGCCACCAATGAGTCCAAGGCAGATTCTAGCCCAATGAAAGGATGGACCAGACTCAAATTCAGGTGGAGTACAAGACTATACACTTCTGCGTCATGGGGAAGCCCCATGGTATTACACCTACAGTGAGATATGAGTTTGAAGACTTAAAAGCATATGTTATTCTTACCACTTCATGAGACCCTTATACTTTTCGAGAGGCTATGGCTAGCTAGGAGAAAGATAGTGGATGACTGCTACTGTGGAGGAAATTGTGTCCTTGGAAAAGAACGTGACATTGGATTTTGTTCAGCTGCTACAAGGGAACGATAACTATTGGTTGCAAGTGCGTGTATAAGAAAATGTTAGCAATAACAGAAAAACGGGAAATTTAAAGGCTCTCCTAGTTGCCAAAGGGTATTAACAACAAAAGAGGATTGATTATGATGAGATTTTTAGTTCGGTAGGTACACACACTTCTATTAGGGGAATATTGGCCCTGGTAGCTAACATGGATATGCATTTATAGCAGATAGATGTGAAAATAACTTTCCTTCATGGTAATATAGAGGATTATATCTATATGGAACATCCAGAGGGTTTTAGTGATACTGTACATGACATACTTGTTTTAAAATTGAAGAGGTATTTGTATGGCTTGAAGCAGTCTCTAAGGCAATGGTACAAACATTTTGGTTCACAAATTCTTTGGATTGGATATGAAAGGTGCGAATATGATTGTCGTGTTTATGTGAGGAGCCTTGATGATGACTCTTTTATTTCTTTGTTACTTTATGTTGATGATGCGTTGATTGTTGCCCACCATTTGCGTGATGTAAATGAGTTAAAGACTAAGTTGGGTAAAAAGATTGATATGAAGGATCTGGGCATTGCAAAGAAGATTCTTGGGATGGAAATTCACATGGACAAAGAAGCCAATAAATTATGGTTGTCTCAGAAAAGCTATATTGAAGGTGTTTTGAACAAATTTTACATGAGCAATGCAAAACTTGTGAGTATTCCATTGGCAAATCATTTTAAGCTCTCTTTGGGATAATGTATGAAGACAGATTCAAAGGTATAAGGTATGTCTAAGACTCTTTATGCTAGTATAATTGGTTGTTTGATGTATGCCGTGATTTACACTATACCAGATTTGGCACAAACAGTTGGTCAAGTGTGTAAGTTCATCTCCAAGTTAGGGAAGCAACATTGGGAATCAATCAAGGGGATCCTAAGGTACTCGAAGGGTACAATAGATCATGGTATCATATTCAACACGAAGCAAGGCGTTCCATCAGTTGTAGGATATGTGGATTCCCACCATGCATGTGATATAAATGATAGGAGGAATACCAACAAGGTATGTTTTAACTCTTGCGTGAGGGTGGAGGTTATATGATAGAAATCATTAATTCAATCTATAGTAGCCATGTCTACAACTGAGGCAAAATACACGGTAGTTGCTGAAGCTGCCAAGGATGCATTGTGGTTTACATGGTTATTGAAAGACTTAGATGTTGAGCAAGGTGGAGTTCAGTTGCATTGTGATAGTCAGAGTGCTATCTATTTGGCGAGAAATCAGGTGTATCATGCTAGGACCAAACATATTGATGTGAGGTTCCACAAGATCTGATAGTTGGTGGCGTCCAGATAGACATTACTTCACGTTAACCAAGTCAATCACCATTGACGAGTTCAAACACTATTTGAACTTGTTATAGATTTCACAATGTTAATCAGGATCTACACACCCCAATTTCTAGGATATGGCATTATGCAATTAATCTTCATATGAGTTTGATATTTGCTAAGGTGGAGATTGTTGAGTTTGCCTCACAGGTAAGGTTAAGTGGTTAAGGGGTGGGGCCGCAGAGGGTGAAACCCTCGCGGTAGAGTTTAGGACTATTATTTTAATCTGAAATATATATATATATATATATATATATATATATATATATATATATATATATATATATATATATATATATATATATATATATATATATATATATATATATATATATATATATATATATATATATATATATATATATATATATCAATGAAACCCTGATCCGTGTAGTTCAAAACAAATCAATAAGATAACAATAGCTGCTCTATAGTCGTAGACGTAGGCAATTTGACTGAACTGCGTAAACAAATCTTATGTGTATTTCTCTTTATTCTAATATGTATTCACACAACTGTTCCAACAATCATGTACTTGTGCACCATCCTATGCTATGCTTTTTTTTTCTTTATGTAGGTTTCTCTATAGTCTTCTACATCAATATTTGGAAAAGTCTATTATAAGTGAAGGGTAAGGGTAAATAGAAGTTTTGTCTCAATTTTTTTTAGTTGGTTATATTTTGTAGTTAAATTGTCAAACTTGACATTGAGTTATGTTCACTGAACTCTATAAGAAGATATGATTGATGTGAACCTAAAATCTTTTGGTGGTCTATGGTCATGAATCTCAATCTCAATTCGGTGGATGTTCTTCGTGAATGCACCTTATCATGACGTCTTTGATCTTTATGCTTTTCATTATTTTTTTTTTCTTTTTGAAATTTTGGTATTATCCCACCGTCCACTAGCAGGATTCTGTTATATCTTAGAGCATGAACGTTTTGATCTTTATGTTTTTCATTAAATTTTTTTTTTGTATAATCCCACCGTTCATTAGCGGAGATTCTATTTAAAGGCAGAGGATGATCTTTATGTTTATTATTATTATTATTATTTAAAATTTTGATATCATCTAATCTTTCACTAACAGAGACTCTATTTAAAATAAGAACAACCGTTATGTATAAACTATCTCAACATACAAATATTAGAATTTAACAATATAATTTGAATCTAATACCCAAAAAAAAATGGACACATTTCAGAACTAAAGTCTTCGCTGTTAAACCAACCTTAAAATATACACATTGGCAGATCTTCAAGATAATTTATTGTTAAACAAATGTTTATAAAAGATTAAAGTCCCATAAAAATACAATTCAATTGATAAAAGATTACACGACATTTTATTTACTTTATTAAGTAGTTGTATATCTTTTGGGTCAAGTAGTTGAATCACCCAAATAAGGCTGCAATTACCAATTAACAGAATTGTAATTACGAGACTTTCTAGATCTATTACAATTATATTAAGTAAAATTTTGTCGACCACTTGCAAATTCTGGAAGAAAAAAAAAGTTTTAAAGTGGGTGGCATATTAGGCAGCATATGCGGCATGTGAGTTTTATTCTTCGGCGGATTCCAACAAAATATCGTAAAGTATAATAACCACTTCTCTCACTCACCACATAAACGTAACTTTGAAAAACCATGGCGTCTCCTGAGAATTGCATCGAAGAAAGGTAACTGCTTCCTTTCATATTCTTTATTTCATTCCAATTATTACAATCTCCATTTCTATCATCGCGTCTTTTCTACCTTGTATTGTTTCATCATCATCATCATCATCGTGAAGGAGTGAATTGCTTAGAGTTTTCCATTTTCCATATCTCCGCGTCGTTAAATGTTATTCATGCTTCTTCGTTTCTCTCTTCTTTTGTTCCGTTCCGTTCGGTTGTAATTGTGTAATGTATTACACATGGATCAATTCATTCAACCGTTACCATTTTTCATCACTTTCTTCCATTGAAATTTAGGTTATTATCTTTTTATATACTATACTCCATTCAAGATGCAGCCTATTTAGGGATCTGCAATGAACCATAAATCTCTGCCACTATAAGTAGTACAATACTCTCAAATACATTGTATATTTCATTATTAAACAAAGTTTTTAGAATAGTTAAAGTCCATTTTATATAAATATATGACTAAATTATCCTTTCTATAAAGATGCATTCAATATTAATTTTTAGGCGAACTAGTACTAGTATTGAATAGGGTTATATTTGGAAAAGGTAATAATAAATGCAAGATGTCTATATAGCACCGACACCTATGAGACACCTATGAAAAAATGTGTAAGTGTTCGAAACTTACTCTTGTGATTATATTTAGTTTATTTATTTTTTCAAATTATTACTAGTGTTGACGTGTCCGTCGGTATCTTGTTTCTGGTGTCCGTGCTTCATACTAGATAATTAGAGATGAAGAGAATACTACACACGACTTTAACATATTTTCTACTACTAACTAGCTATGAAGCACCGACACCCCGAAAAAGACTCCGACGCTGACACGATGACACTGATAATGATTTAAAAAGATAAATAAACTAAACGTAATCACAAGTGTTGGTGCAAGTGTTCGACACCGACATGGACACGTACACGTTTTTTCAGAGGTCTCAGTGCTACTTAACTAACTAGTTAAAAGTATATGTATGCAGTGTTCTGCAGAGTAGTATCAGTGTATTTTTTTGTAAAGAATCTTTATCTTAGAATGTCGCATTCCAAATTTTGATCAAATGCTCTTCCATCTTTTACATATTACAAGAAATATCCAACAATCAGTTACCAGCTTATTATAATTTCATTTGCATTGGTTTATATGGCTTACCTTTAATTACAACTATATGAATGATCAGTTTAACACTCAATGCCTAGACTAGTGAACTGTGAAAGCATCATGTGTGATGTGTAAAATTCGTTTTTGTTTTTCCAAAATGCTCTCTTCTTTGTTTAACTAAGTAGCAACAGAGGAGCTGGCGTGCTTGTAGTTGAAATATGCTTTGCATTGTTAGATATAGTATATCACTTAACCTGAATAGCATGAGCTTTTGAGGGTAGTGGCTTCATAAGATGGTATTAGAGGTATGGAGTCTCTATGACCATATGGTCTAGAACTCAATCCTTGTTATCCCTATTCTTTTTATACAATGTTAAAGTTCAAAACAAAGTAAGGTATTCCCATAAGCTATCCCTTATTCCAGAGGGAATTTCCTCGAGGGGGTGTGTTATTTGTAAAAATCATTCACGTGCTTTAACCCAGCAACTTCAAACTTTGTGCTAATTGGTTCATACATGATTCTTGGCTGCAGCAAGAGTTCTCTCACCAGACTTGCTCCACTTGAAGCAGTGCTCTTTGATATAGATGGAACTCTGTGTGATTCTGATCCACTCCATTATCTTGCTTTCCGTGAGTTGCTCCAACAGGTACTGCTTCTTTTCTTCGTAATCAAGTTTAAGAAAAATATTGGAAGTATAGATATTTAAGTTTTTATCATTACTATATTCCTTTTATTGTATTTATTATTTATAAATCGGCACGACTAAGCATATGATCAGTAGCTGGTAGCATTAACAAATATTGGTGATTGTCAGATTGGTTTCAATGGAGGTAATCCTATAACAGAGGAATTTTTTATCGATACTGTTGCTGGCAAGCATAATAATGACATTGCCTTGGCTCTCTTTCCTGGTGAGCTGGAGAGAGGTTTGAAGTTTTTAGATGATAAGGAAGCCATGTTTCGGAGGTAAACCATGCTCTCTTCACCTGAACTATCCCCTTGTGCTTAATTTGAAGATTCTGAACATAATTCATGACAATCTAGATTAGCAGCTGAGCAACTGAAGGCTTTAAATGGCCTTGATAAAGTGAGAAAATGGATTGAAGATCGTGGGTTGAAGCGAGCTGCAGTTACCAATGCTCCAAGACCAAATGCTGAACTCACTCTCTCAAAACTCGGTCTCTCAGATTTCTTTCAAGCTGTTATTATTGGTGATGAATGTGAACATGCCAAGCCTCATCCAGAGCCCTACTTGAAAGGTCTTGAAGCTCTAAATGCATCTAAAGATCACACATTTGTATTTGAGGTCTGTTTGTTTCTTTTCTCTACCTTGCTGTAGAATTTGTTCTTATTCTGCTTCTGACGGATCCATTTTGTTTCACAGGATTCTGTTTCAGGAATCAAAGCTGGTGTGGCTGCTGGGATGCCTGTTATCGGTTTATCTACCCGAAACCCAGAGCATTTGCTGATGGGAGCAAAACCCACCTTTCTGATTAGAGATTATGATGATCCAAAATTGTGGGCAGCTTTGGAAGAACTTGACAAGTCTGATTCTCATTAAAGTTTTGACTTACTACTAGTGCGATCGATATAATTTCTTGGTAAAAACAAGTAGCACCTTTCATATTAAATTCACCAGATCACCTGTATAATTTAGTTACAGGGGGTGATATTATTATACTAATCCATAATCAGAGTTGCTTTGGAGTCGAGCAAACAGTAATTTTTTATTTGTAACTTGCAATAATGTAATAGTTGGCTATGAAACTTAATGCCAAGGAAATCGCAATACGTCGGAGAAAAAGAAAGGGAAGGAGGGAGTGCTTTGAACACTTACATGATTCATTACTTTTTATTGGTATGTTATTTGATGATCAATGCTCAATATCAGCAATTTTGTACTGCTACTTTAAATTGTTTGATATGCATACAGTGATCAAATGTGATGATTATTTATGCTATTTAATTTTTTGTTTTGTATGAAGAGACACTTAACCCAGCTAAGTTTTGACATTTCCAAAAAAGTTTAATATTTGCGATTTGAGTTATTTAAAAAAAAAAATACAGAATTGAAGATTGTCTCAACTCATGATAGGCACGATACACATTGCAATAACTGCAACCCCATAATTCTATTGGCAGCAACTGCCATTTGAAATAGTGAAAACCACATAATGATTGTCAGAGTTTTCTACTGAAATTCCCTTCAACAACTTACGATGCATTGGAAACAAACATAGCAATCAAAACCTGATTCATCTCTTATTGTTTGTATTCTCAGATATATAGTACTAGATAAGGACCATGCTTTAGAAAGTGGTGAATTTGACAGGATTTCTTGGTGTTTTCGGAATTGTTTTAGGATTTTTACAGTCATTGGAAAGAAATGATTGATTAGCCTTGAATGCTTTACTTGCTTTTAGTTTGTTGCCGTACCAGTGAGAATTTGAGAGCCAGCTAATTTTTACCCTATGCCACTAGTCTTCGTTTTGGTTTCTAGAGTTTCAGCCTTATTTTCTGATAATAGTAAAGAGGAAAATCTTGTAATTTATCACCTAACAATGACATCTTTTTTGCGCCAAAATCAGTCTCTTTATGTACAAGTGTTGGGGCTGAAAGTATTTAGTTTTCTTCCTAAAATTTGTAGCAAAATATCCTCTCCTTGTGGATCTAATCTATCTCCAGACGAGAAAACATGAACTCCACCCTTCACTAATATCCAACTACATCCAGGTGCCTTCCTCACACCTTTCATCCTCATTTCTCTTCTCAAACTTATCTCCTCAATGTGCTTATCATTTGCGGCGTATATGTTGCAAAGGGTTACATGACCTGGTGCATTCAGAGGATCCAACTCTAGCAGTTGTGTGGCTGCGCGTCTAGCAACATCTGCATGTGTTTTACTTAAACCACATACTCCAATCAATGCCCCCCAAATGGCATGATTTGGTTCGACAGGTAGCCTCAACACAAACTCCTCTGCGTCCTTCACTCTTCCTGCTCGGCCCAGAAGGTTGATAATGCTAACATAATGCTCCAAGCCAGGTTGAAGTGCATAATCATTGATCATTATATTAATTAACCCCCACCCTTTATCAACAAGACCAGCATGAGCACATGCTGTTAGGACACCAAGGAAAGTAACAGCATTCGGGCAAACCCCGAATTCAACCATGGTTTCATATATCTTCAAAGCTTCAAAAGCCCTCCCATGATCCGAAAGGCCCATGATCATGGAGTTCCACGAAATTTTGTCTCGACAAGTCATGTTTGAGAATATCCTATATGCATCCTCTATCTCCCCACATTTTGCGTACATCGAAATCAGAGAGTTCTCAAGATACACATCATATTCATATTCATATATAGTCTTTAACTGCATAGCATGTAATTGCCGGCCCAGATCAAGATATGCAACAGATCCCACAGCTCCAAAAAGAACAGCATAAGTAGAATTTATAGGAGAAACACCCTGAGTCATCATTTTAGCAAATATGCTGATGGCTTCAGCAATTAGCTCATTTTGAACATACCCATAAATCATCGAAGTCCATGCAACGGAATCCTTATCACTATCAGGCATGTCATCAAAGAGATTGCATGCCTTTAATACTTGTCCAACACTAAGGTACCCAGAAATCATGCAAGTCGATGCAATTTTGTTTCGAATAGGGACCATGTCAAACAACTCTTGAGCCTTTTCTAACTGACCAGACTGAACGTAACCATTTATCATAGAATTGAAAGACTGATCATCCCAATTTTTCCGACCACCTTCAAACACACTGCGCGCAGAATCCATAAGACCACACACAGAATACATCCTAACAAGACTTCTCCCTAACCTACCATCATAATCATCAAGCTCCCATCGGTTAACAATCATTTTAGCATGCAATTGCTTACCAAGAGAAGGAAACCCCAAGCCAGCACATGCATAAACAAGAGAAACAAAGGTCTCCCCATTAGCCCTTACATCAGAATGTGTCATCATCTGAAGAAAAAGTAACAGCGCCTCCCGATAAAATCCATTCCAAGTGAACCCACCAATCATTGCAGTCCAAGAAACAACATTTTTCTCTGGCATAATCCAGAACAAACGACAAGCCTCATCCACATCACCCACACGACAATACCCAGATATCATACTAGTCCAAGTGATCACATTCCTACACCCCATTTGATCAAACAAAGCTCTTGCTTCATCCATTCTACCATTTTCAACATAACCCTCAATCATAGCATTCCAAGACACCACATTTTTAAAAGGGGTGTCATCAAAAACCATTTTCGCTTCCTCCAAATCACCATTCCTAATCAACCCCACAACCATCGAATTCCACGAAACAACATTCTTCTCAGGCATTTCATCAAACACCTTTCTCGCATCATCAACCCTCCCCGCATCAGCAAACCCACTAAGCATTGCAGTCCAAGAAACAACATTTCTCTCCGGCATATCATCGAAAAACATCCTACCCTGTTTGAGCATACCGGATTGAAGATACGCAGACAACATTGCATTGTAAGTAACAATGTTTCTTTGAGGCATTATGTCGAACAGGTTTCGAGCTTCTTCTACGTAACCATGTTTTGCGTAGTTGGTGAGCAAGGAAGTCCAGTGAACAACACGGGTATGGAGGTTTCCGCATGGAAAAGAGTGAAGAATGTTTCGTGCTTCGTGAAGCAACCCGTTTGTTAGGTAGTGGAGGAGCTGAGATTCATCGTAATCGTGTTTACGAGGAAAAAGAAAGAGAGGTTTGGGTTGAGAATGGTTTTGGTTGTTCGAAATTGGAAGAGAAAAGCGCCTTAGACTTAAACTGGAACTGCGAATCAACTGCACAAGGATTGATGAGTGGCGAAAAACTTGCATTGCATCATCAATCACTACCACTTTTTCCACATTTTATATTTTATTTTCGAAATCATTAACGAATTTCAAAATATTGATCTTAAATACAATTACTTTGTGTCGTTAAGTTAGTTACTAGTTGTAATGACATATCAAATGTAAGAGAAGTGGATTCCAATTTAGGATATTCAATTTATTCATTTAAAAAAAAATGAATTTCAATCATTAGATTATTTGATTAAAAAATACAATTTTTTTTTTTAAATTTGTGTTTCAAAAGTCAAAAGAAACTAAAAGAAAAAAAAACTAATAATTCTAATAATTGTGCACTTATGATATCATGATAAAAAGTCAAAATAATGAATCATCAATTTTGTTAAAAGACTAAATTAAAATCTTATAATTAGTTAAAAGATCAAACCAAAACAATTAATCAAACTATGAATGTTATTAAAGGGCATTTGTAACATGATATTTACTATACTAGAATTTCATATGCAAAATACTTTTTTTCTTTAACTATACCCTCATATTCATATTAGTTCCTTAACTTTTTTTTTTTTTTTTTGCGTTAGATTGTTCATTAATTCTTTAAACATGTCATGTTAGTCTTTTTTGTATATTAGTGACGAATTTAACGACTGAGTTTTAAATTTTTTTGTCTATAATTAGATAGAAAAGACTAACATGGTACATTTTGAAATGACATGAAAAATAATTAATGGAGCAATCTGAACCTAATGATATAGTTAAATGATAAAAAAAAGATATTTTGCCAATTTCATACTATTTTGAATTAATTGAATGAAAATTTTCATATCAATAAAATCTTGAATTTAATGATATTAAACTAGAATATTGCTATATTTTTTAATTCAAACCAAATACTTACAATTTGACCTTCCACCCTCCAAAGTTATATGTTTATACTTTATATGTCTTTTACGGTTTTCTCAAATTTATTCTTCTCACAAGCTTCATTATCGTAGGTTCATTCCCAACATGTACAAGCTAGTTTAAGAGCATAATCGATCAATGTATAAATTGCTCAGCGGGTCTCCGACATTTTCGAATCCACAAAGAGCTAAAGGAGATGTTATACTTATGGTCACTATCCTCATGGTTCTTTTGATCATCGAATCTGGCATGGAAAATGTTGGCAGTGTAGGCTAGCATCTCATTTCAAGATTTTTTAAGGTATTGTAGATAGTGGGTTTTTTGATGAAATGGATATGAATAAAAAGATGACAGAGATGGTCATTGTGCTTGAACGAGTCTGGCGGTGGCGGTGGCGGAGTGCGATGACCATCTCACAGTGGTGTGACAAAACATCAACTGTTGAGAAGTCTGAGAATTTTAAAAATAGAAAGATTTTCAGTGTCAATACAAAAAAGAATTTTGTGAGATTTTAAAAATAGAGAGATTATGAGTGTCAATACAGAAAAGAATTTTGTGAAATTTTTAAAAATAAAGAGATTATCAGTGTCAATATAAAAAATAATTTTGTGAATTAAGATCTTGATCTGAAATAATAATGTCAAAATCATTTTTAAACAATTTGTGATTTCACTGATAAATTTGTTGCCTTGTTAAGTTCTTTCTAAAATAACTAGAATAAATGTGTTCCTTTTTTAAAATTGCGACTTCAATTTCTTCCGTCAAAGAAGGTGGATAAATGAGGTAGATAAGACAGATAAATATTTTCAAAAGAAAAATCTAGTGCAGAGAGTTTATTATAAGATCTAATACAACTATTAATCCGACGACTGTCAATTGTGGTTCATGGTGAGGGACTTGTTGGAGCCCTCACCTTAGAATCCACCTTCATTTAAATACGTGATAATTTTTTTTTGGTTAAAAAGATTAATTACTATATTTTGTTAGTGTAAAAAGTTTTACATCATCCGTTCATTACCATCATTCGTTGATATTACTTTATTAATTATTAAAATAAAATTCAAAACTTTTATAACATTCAATGGTTATAATTAACTGAATGTATAAATTTATTTTACACTGTTAGTGCATTTCAATTAAATCATCTGTTAAAATATTATTACTCTTTTAAATTTATTTGAAATTGAAGAGATACAAGCATCCATAAATCAACTATATTTATCAAATATTCATATAATTCTTTAAACACTTTAAAATAAGTCCTACCAAATTATACAATATATTCACATTTATATAAATTTAGACATTTTTAATATAAAAAATTAAAATTAAAAGAAGCAAATTAATGAAAAGGTAGTGTAGAAGCGTGTGCTACTGTAACAACTTTGCCAAACTAAAGAATGCTGATTATTATCAATTATCCAATAGCTTTTGACACAGGAGCATAAAACATTGCAATTTTACCGATAATTATGCTCTAACAGACATTTTGACACAAAAGTCGAAATTTTTACCTAAATATCCTAGTTTTAAAAAAAATTCCCAAAATAATTCAATTTTTAAATTAATTTCCAAAGTACTCGATTTTAGAATATTGCCTGAGTGTAGATGTCATACCAATTGGCGATCTTACATAAGTAACAAGTGTTGTCGTCAATTGGATTGAAGACAATACTTGGTGTTGCCAATCCAATTGACAACCTAGTGTAAATGCTAAAAGGGTCTCGTCAATTCAATTGGAGACAAGCTTGAAAGTGAAATTTGTTTCTATAAATAGAGGTTTTTTGATAATTTATTTTCACATGTCATCTGATATACCTGTATTACTGATAACAGGTATCGTCACCGCTAGGGGAAAGTCATCTATTCGAGAAAGAAGCCTCTGATGGGCATGCTCTTTTGGAACATTCAAAGTTGCAACCAACTAAAGTCTTTTGTTGCGAAAATCGATGTCAACCTATAATAGGTTGAACTCACCAATGCGGTGATTTGAAGATTTTTAATTCTTTTGAAGACGCCGTTCATGGATTCCACAAGGTTTTTTGTCATGTGGCCCCAACGACATCCACCGTCAAATGCCCTTGTCCACTTGTCCAATGGAAAGTTATTCAACCACCTTCTTGCATCTGCATTTGACATCCTAATTTCGTTAAGGTAGTATTGAAATGATGGTTGAGTTAGAGCATACCATGAATTCATAATTTTTTTGCGAAGGTTATTGTCTTTGATTGCACACATGAAATTTTATGCGATATATCTAATGCAATAGACATGGGTATAAGGAGGATTATGTCATCCGTTATCATGGTTATTGTAAGCACTCTCAATAGCAGCATACATGTCTAAAATTAAACAGAGATTGGCTTGTGGAGCCACATGTGTTTTGAGATTCTTAAGGAAGAAATTCTAACCAGCAACTATCTCACCTTATATTGAGCTCGTCGGTTTCGGACATGTAAGCAAAATAATGTCTTACTCGGTTGATGCAAAGTTTATACTATTTTTACAAGAGAGATGGCGCCCAGAGACACACACTTTCTTTTTTTCAAGAGGTGAATGTGCATTGACGTTAGAGGATGTGTACATGTTACTCCGGTTGCATATTGATGGTATGATAGTCAATGGAAAAACAACCATTGAAAATTCAATTTTGTGAGAAACTTTTGGGTGTTGACTTGTTGGATGATAACCCAAGAGGCCAAGGTATCTTACTTTCACATCTCAAAATATGGTACAGCAGTATAATATTAGATGAAAACTTTATCGAAGAAATGAAAATAATAAAAATCAGGTGTTATCTTATGTTTTTACTTGGTTTGTTTTTATTTTTCGAAGGTACTGGTTCTACTATGCACGTTATGTATTTAACCTTATTGAGTAACCTAGATAAAACAAGAGAATATAGTTGGAGTTCTGCATGTTTGTCTTATCTGTATAGCTCTTTGTGTAAGTGTGCGGAAAAAAAACACATCTATTTTTTCTGGATGCGCTGTTTTGCTCCAAGCATGAGATTGGTCTAGATTGTCATCCTTAGCGCCTGTCAACCACAACAACTTCTCATTCCTGTATGCACAAAAGTAAGTTAATAACTTAATATTAGTTAATTCACCTTACTAATTATTGTGTCTAACTAATTTATTTGAACTTTTTGTTGTTTAGATGATCGGCTTGGGTTATGACTTACAATATATGTCCTAGACATTGTATCATTCAATAATGCAATCTCTTGAATCACCTAACACCTGAAGATGTAAGGCTACTAAATGAATCAATTTATTTTTTATATCACTCATTTTATGATCTAATATTTTTTTCTTCTTCAGTTCATTTGACGTAACACTTACATGAAGTCAGTGAGGAGGATGCACCCGTTTGGACTGCATGTGTGCCGATCATCAGATTCACCACTGTGGAGATGCACCACAGTGACCGTGTCAAACTACAATTTGAAATGCATCAAAACATCCTAGATCCACCGATTGACCTCGGTAAATGGCATCTAAAAAAAATAATGAGACAATCCCGACTAGAAGGATTTTACTAAATTTGAGTGTCGTAAATGGAGGAACCGTCGTGTCCATATCTTATGTGACCCGGTGATGGCAACCCCGTCTATACTAACTAATACTTATATGGCTTGGTACATATCAGTTGCAATTGGGTTTGTCTATGAAAAGAGGTATCTATACGATCTACGGCAAACCACCTACACATAAAAAGTTTCAACGTCTAACCCACCAAAAAATTAACGGACTTGTTACTCACAACCCCAACCAAACAAAATTATCAACCCAAAAACACACAAATCCACCATCCAAAGATGCAAAACACCCAACCACAATACCAATAGCGTCCCCATACCATCTCCAACAAAATGACTATTATCAAGACACCTGAAATGCATATGCCTCCAACACAACATCAAGATATAGCCAAAACGCTCAAACATCATACCATAGTCGTAACGCCCAAACATCTTTCCATATCAAACACGCTCAAACATTACACCACAGCCTACACACACAAACATCACAACAACCTTATGGATTTCAAAAACCAATACCATTTCAACCTTTCATCAACGAAGTCTTCACACCAATGTCCCCCTTCAATCGTCCAGGTCGCACACCAATGTCCCCTTCATCAAATCCAAACTACTCTGGCATGGATCACGAGCTCAGTTTCAACACACAATACTACTTAAAAATGTAAGAAATTCTTAGGATTTCAGTTGGGAATGTTTCTGAGACTTCAACTCCTCAAACACCTGGAGCGAATCAACGAGGACAACGAGTAAGACTGCCTAGGAGATGTAGAACCAATGGCCAGTATGACCAACCCGGTCGTCAACATTAATTTATGTAATATTATTTTTAATTAACTATTAATATTACTTATTTATGTAAAAAAATTCACTTTTAAATTTGTTTCTAATCAAATTGGCAACACCCTTTTAACATTTACACTGGATCACCAATTGGATTGGTGGCAACACCATGTGTTGTCTTCAATCCAATTGACGACAACGCTCGTTACTTGTGAAAGGTCATCAATTGATATGGTGCCTACACTCTATCATTACCCCAAAGTGGAGAGTACTTTGGGAAATAGGTTGAAAACTGAATTATTTTAGATTTAAAAAAAAAAAAAAACTGGATATTTGAGTAAAAATTTCACAAAAGTCTGACATCAAATTTGATGGTTCACCTGCTACAAATGCGTGAACACAATTTAAATTGTTAATTCATAAATATATATTTGACACATTATATTTATTAACTATCTGGAGAATATAATTAACAATATATAACTTGTATTAGTCTATTTAATGTCAAATTTGGATAAGTGCTTCTTGAGACTAGCAAGTGCTTTTGGTTAGTACAGTTAGCTATTGGATTTTCTGCAAACAGATCTTGTCATTATAGTCTTAAGATGTAAATATATGGAAGCACATTTGAATATGAGTGGATTTGTCATTATAGTCTTAACATGTAAATCTATGGAAGCACATAATACAGATAAAAGAATACAGTTAGTGAACATGTAGATAAATTATGCACCAACCATCTTCAAATTATAATCCCAGGAGGAGTTTATTGGAAAATCTAGATGGTTAGAAAGAACTATTACACAGATATGTCAAGAACGGTTAGACCCTAAGAATTGGTCCACAAGTTTAGCCACACAGTTGGCTAGGGTATCTGCAGCTTCCTGCGTGGCTGCTTCCGCATATACACGAACAACATCCTCGGTACCGGATGGTCGAACAAAGCATCGACCTTGAGTGTACTTTGCTGTAAACCAAAGAAGACATGAGGCAGAGCAGCCATATTAGTACAACTTAAATTCTAAAATTAGTTTAATCTTCTAACTTGAAGACATTAGTAAATGGGTGAAATTGATTAGTATTCTCAACCTTGTGTAATTTTATTTTGGCAAGTAAATTGGATTTCAGAACATAATTAATACAATCCACTTGACAATGAGGCAAAAGGAAGCAGCAATGGTTTGACAGTTTCACAGAGAAAAGCAGCCAATCAATCAGGAATAGATAACAGTACTATTTTTTTAGTGAAACAAAAATAATGTAATATTTAGACATATATAAAACTAGCCTCTAACAAATTTTGCAAAATTCGTGTGGCAAAACGCCACTAGTTTCAACTCCTTCAATCGGTGGGTAGAAATGCAATTGGTCTCAACTCCAAATTGGGTGATGCCATATTATATCATGGCAACAAAGAAAAAGTGAAGGAGCAAAGAAGATACCAGTTTCTGTATTGATGGCATCCTGCAAACCAGGGGGTCTCACAACAACAGTTTCTGCATTTGCTGTAATTACCGCCGTTCTGTCAGCAACTTTAACCTAACAGTTAAAAACCAGAGGACTTTTCATTTCAGAAATGTTTCAAGCAATTACTTTTAAAAAAGTTAAACTGGCAAAAAAGTGATTAAGCCCTTGACTATCTGTCAAATTACCTGCAATAAATCAAGTAGTGACAAGTAAAAAATAGAGAGAGGGAATATTAAAATATTTAAATTGAATAAATAACTTTGCATCCCAAGGTAAAATGTGATACATAATTTATTTATTGCATACGCTAGAAGTTGAGAGCTGAGACAGAAAATGATAACAAGGCAAGAATTGAATGTAATAATTCATTTAAAAACAAAAACTTGTTAGCTAGCCATGTAAAAATAGCTGATAACATAACTAAGATCATATTAAAATGCATTGCAGGACCACGGAATTGAACCTACATTTATGAACTTCACCATATAAAATTATTATTATATTAAATAGGAAAACAAAAGAAGTGTTTATTTATGATCCAGTCAAAACTTCTGATAGCTTTACAGATGTTCTACTTTCAGAAAAGATACATGACAATAATAACAGACCTTGAGCTGCCTGCTGGGTAAATCGTGATAAAGTTCATTCCATCTATGTATTGACCATCGCATGTGCTTCAATATGACTTCCACCAATAGCACTCCACTCAAAGCATCTCCTACTGCTTGGTTTATCAAATTACTGACTGCCAATAATCTCAAAGCAGCCTTCTCAGCTTCTGAACCTGAAACAAACAGCCAAAAGATTTCTATTATGCTCAGCAGTTGATTCTTAAAATTGAAGTGATATTAGTGAGAAACCAACTAATAAACCTTTGGATCCTGAAGAAAGCTCGCGGCTTTTGACTTCTAACCACTCTATGAAAGATTCTGAAAATAGGATAGTTCCATGGCCATTTGCCTCAAAATATATACCGATATCAAATTCGGCAGCTTTTTCATGTAAGTATTTCACTCCAGTGGGAGTAAAATTAACTTCGAGTCCCAAGTGTTTAAGGTAATTAGTAGAAGCTCCATTTGCATATGCAGTCTGTACGATACCAAGACGGGCTTTGTGGCCGTTACTTAGGTCTTCTTTCTCATTAAGAAAGCTTAGTTGCTCCCTAATAAATACAGCAAACAGGGACAATATTTTGTCCCCGTCAACAAGGTTAATTTGAGCATTGCTTTCAGGTGGTACTAAAAAATAAACAAGCCGATCAGCATCTCCATCCAAACTAGCACACCTGCAAACTAGAACAAACTAGCTCCATTAGTAGGACTACAATAAATAGCACCAATATAGTAATTTTAATAAGGGTACAAGTGTACAACTATTAAATCAAAGGTAGGGGATTAGTTAGCCGGTGGGGATTGATTGAATCATTAATAACATAATCTCCATTAAAACAGATAATCTAAACTGTCATAATGGAAAATTATTGGATGTAAATATCCACTTAAGATGAACAGACTAACCTTATGCCAGCATCTTTAGAACCAAAATCGCGCGGAGCAACCTTCTCTTTTTGCACATAATCAGCACCAACACCATCGTTCAGCACACCTTCATCTTCACTGCTATTTCTAACCTCAATATCCAAAAAATTCAACAATTTATGCAAAATTTGAAGTTTTGCTCCACCAACACCATTAGCTCCATCCACAACCAATTTGCCATTCATTCCATCAAACTTGCTTCGTTCGGTCGGAATCAAATCCATTAAGCACCTGATGCATTAACATAATGATCCTAAAGGGCGTGTTCAGTGATGGCTTTACCATCAATAACAAATGGAACAACATGGAATCATATCTATGCGTCATAGCAATATAAGGAAAGAATTGTACTAACTTGAATGAGTCGGAAAGCTGTTCAAAGTAATCCTGCTCCGATGCTTTTAGGCCCTTATTTCTGGCACGAACCATCCAATGTAGTTGTGGAGTTGTCAAAATTCCCATGTCGGACGCAACAGCTCCAACAATTGAGGCAACTCCCTTCATTTTTATCCAAACATATCCGATTTTAATCTGACCATAAAATAGAACAAAATGATAAAAAGAAGCTAAATATAGTTTATGGCACCCATACTTGTCTAGCAGCTTCAAGCAAAGCTTCTCCACTTGGCCTCGTGTCTCTCCCCAAAAGTATTTCAACTGGCCTGACCCCATCAAATGGAATCCTTTCTTTCTCAACAAATTCATTTATCAACTGCAAGTCATATAGAATAACATTCATAGTGAGTTACTAGCTCCAATCTTGATTATAAGCAAAAGTACCTAACTTCACACTTATTAAGAAACATGGTTAAGTACAATAAATATCCTTAATCTCATAAAAATATGTGCATTTTCAAAAGTGTACTTCATGAGAACTTGTTCCATGAGAATAAAAAAGAGACATTAAAAAGTAGAATATATATTAATTTAGGATTTTGAAATATGACATTAAATATAGTGAAAGTAGTTAAGTTTACTCATCTTATATTATATGTGAGACTACCAAATATAAGTAGTTTTTCTTGCTTATATTCCATGTTATAAGAAAACTAAAATATGAAGTATGGCTGATATGTATTCCCTTGTTAATTCATTGTTGTTAGGGCCTTTTATATAGGCAAAGTACAAACAGAAGTACATCCAGCATAAACTCCATAATTCTGTCCTCTTACACATTTGTCAGTTCTCACCTCACCTTACCACAGTGGTCAATTTTGCATTTACAAAACAAACAAAAAAAACCATATCCATCACACAATTTCAAAGGTGAAAACATTTAAGTGAAGAACCCCAAACCTGAAGAAGTTGCTGAGGAGAAGAAGCATTTGCAATGGCGTCCGCAAATGGCTCCCAATGCTGAGACAACATACCCCCACTTGGATCAGCAATTTTTACACCATTATCAGAAACTTTGTTATGCGAAGCAGTGATCATAACTCCGATCACAGACTGCGTTTTCAGCGATCTAAGAGCTGCCAGAATTCCAACTCTGTACACCGTCGATGACAGAATCGACGCATCTTCCCTAAATCCAGCAGTGCCATACGATAGCTTCACTCCTACAAACAAACAAACATCACAACCGTAACCGAATAAACGACATCGTTTTACCAGTTAGCGAGAATCAGAATTACGAACCTTGAGGAATCGCGAAGCGAGAAGAAGAATCCAAAAGCAGAGACTTTTGTTCTTCGTTCATTGCAATGGATCCAAACCACTGAAACAAAAAAAAAAATAGCACGTATATTAATTATTAATTATTAAAAATGAAAATAAAAAACAAATCGGGAAAGGGCAAAAATGTCATTTGACGACACAACCGAAGAAGCGTTACATTATTTCACTACATAATCGTAAATTGAAATGAAATCCCTAGATAGAGTTAGTTAAGAAATAAGCATGGGTTTACTGTGGTGGCGGAAGGGGAAGAATTCTCAACCGGAAACGAAATCATCAACGGAGAATGCGAAGAACGGTGGCGGCACGGTGAAAACTACGGCGGAGGCGCCGGGGATGAACGGTGCAATGGAAGTTCCTCGACCTACGAACACGAGTGTATCCGTTTTCGAGTTTGGTTCCGTTGCTGCTTCTAACGATAAGGTTATGCTCGCTGGCTTTTGTCCTGTTTCTGAAGAACTTGAGCCTTGCCGTTGGGAGTTCCTCCCCGCGATTGAGTCCAACGCGCCGCAGTTTCGCGTTATTTTCTGATGTGTTGTGTTATGTACTCTGTATTTTTCGACTCTTTGACTTGTATTGGACCAAATTGATGTGCTCTTGTATTGATATGACTTTTATATGAATGAACTTTTGCATTTCATTTTTTGCTCCACTTTTTCAGTTGTGATGCGCTGTGTTTTGTTATTGTCTTTCATTGTGATTATTTATCAAAGATATGGAATTGAGGAACAAGTTTCACCCCTCATAGTACCAACCTTTTTTAACTCTAACCACTGTGGAATAAAGCATGATATTATGAAACAATCTATCGAGTAGAAGATAGCCTACTGGAGATACTGGAAATGTTCGCTGTTGAGACGGAACCTCTTTTTTGTAAAATCTGTTCATTATTATCTTGTGCTTTGAAGTTAGAATCAAGGTAAGATACTTATTTTGTTGCATTGTAATGTTCTCCATCGAGAGTAGCTGTCAATGGTGGTTGAGGTTGTTGTCAAGTATAAATTTCTTGTTGAAACATTTCTTGTCAAGGATAAATTAGTAGTCGGACACAGATATAATGAGATGGTTGTGTTATGTCGCCGACAATAAACATAATTTTTCTTTATCAAGTAATAATGTGAGTGTTAAGTTGTTGCTCAAAAGTAACGAGTTGGAAACTTGAGTACAATGTCAAATGAACAATGACTGATCTATCATCACAAAGGTGTACTGAAAAATATTAAGAGTCTCACATCATCGAACAATAAATTTATGAATATGTGTTTATAAATGATTTCTTAACATGATAGGAAGAGTTTTGTTTAAGATTTGGTGGACCACCTGTTATCAAGTTTTTGCTATTGGATCATCCAATGTTTATTTCATTGCTTCAAATGTCTAGTTTGGGTACGAGAGATGTGTTTAGAGTCTCAAATTAAACAATATATGATATGTACATGTATTTATAAGTGAGAGCAATTTTCACCATACAAACAAGTTTTATAGGATTGAGTTAGGCACATTCATATTTCTTAACAAAAAAATAAGTAAGAGTATATATATTTTCATGATCGAACCTGAATAAAGAAGTTAATTCATAAGAGAATTATTCGTTTTGGAATATGAAATATAGGCACACTTATAAAATAAATCAATGAAAATAGTGAACATTATGGTTAAAAGGAAGATCTATTTTGTATGGCTATAAGAAACTAAGTAGATGAAAAGGAGAAATAATTACATAGCTTACAATTTAAGCTTTTGTATAGATAAAAAAAAGGGGTGAAAATTAGTGTAGACAATTAGTGGAAGAAAATTATTGTGGATGTAAAAAGATTAGGAGATCAAATCATAACTTTAAATTTTGTAGTATAACAAGACACTTTTAATGTTATTAGTGTTTTCATACATTAAGTTGGGTTAATAGCATGATTTAAAGTAAAATTTTTGGACGCATTAAAAGATTTAGTTCAAAATATACCGTGAGAAAAAAAATATATTTTTAAGATTGAGTTTTAATGGACGTGTATGTAGTGTATCGAGAGACTTTGAGGGAGTGCATGGTGTGTATGGTATCAGAGAAGTAAAAGTGGAAGGTAAATTCGTGGAAGGTAAATCTATCGTAGATTTTTTGTTGTCTTATTATTACTAATACATGTTTTAGAAAATGAGATGAATATTTTATGACATTCAAGAAGTGATGTTACATGTTCTCACACAGATTTCCTTCTTATTAGAAAAATAGATAAGAAGATTTGTTTGAACCATAAAATTATCTTGGAAGAGAGCTTGACTATAAAACATAAAGTATTGCTTATAAATGTAAGAGTCGTGAGGAGAGCAAAAAGATGTTTGAGTATCAACGTTAGCACTCGTACTCATGTCCTCTGATTATGTAAGTATCCATACCCATATCTGTTACCCGCATTTCTAATAAAAACAAATATATCAAATATAAATATCATACGTATCATTTTATCTTTTTAAGATCATTAAAATTTGAATTAAGAAATAAACACACTTATATTAAATATGTAATGGTTTAACATTTATGTATTCTTAAAAATTAGTAGACATTTATTTTTATATAATAATATAAATTAAAATAAATGAATAAATATATTGTGTGGGTATGGGGCGGGTGGGTACTAAGGTGCCCATACCCACTTATTTAAATGAATAATTATCTGAGATTTTGTCCGTCTCCATTTTTGCGAGTTTTTACACTATCCATTGTTTATACTTTTGTGGGTAGCCACAGGGGATGATTCAAATTATCATCCCTAAGAAGAAGTCATAAATAGCCACCACAAATCAAGTAGTGACATTTGAAGGGTGAAAAACAAAAGATCTTCCTACACAAGATCTTCAAAGGAGATTTCAAGAATCCCCAAGTAAGTGTGAATGACATGACATGTATAACAAAATGACATAAAAAATTATAAAAGTAGTAAAACAAACGTTAGAAAAATCAAAAGATTTTGGATTTAGGGATAAAGAATCGGGATGATAAAATGGAAGTGGTCAAAGTTAAGTTAGAGTAAAAAAAATATTTTAAAGATTGGTCTAAATGTAAGAATGCTGAAAATTTGAAAATTATAACAAATTTTTTATAGATTATATAAGAACTAAGAAAAAAAGAAATATATATATATATATATATATATATATATATATATATATATATATATATATATATATATATATATATATATATATATATATATATATATATATATATATATATATATATATATATATATATATATGACCGTTAAAGGAAGTGAAAGAAAGACAAAAAAAATATACATCAACTAAAGTCTATTAAAGATGAAGAAGGTGGGGTCTTAATTTAGAAAAGTAATATAAAAAGTAGATGGAATAAATATTTTTAAAGTTTATTTTAAAGGATAAGATTTTACTAGACTCTAACAAGTTAGATATTAGAGAAGATAATTAAAATTATAATTATTATTGAAGGATTCAAAAACACAAGAAAAAAGCGTCGAAGTTAGATATTAGAGAAGATAATTAAAATTATAATTATTATTGAAGGATTCAAAAACACAAGAAAAAAGCGTCGAAAAAGATGATGTAATAGCAAGACGATTGGGTCTAACAGTATACCTATTAAAGCTTGAAAAAGACTTAGACAACATCAAAGCATAATGAGACGAGGGCAGGAAAAAAAACCTGTAGACGCACATCAGAGGGTGGAGAAATTGAGGAGCTAGTCTTCTTTGCTCGCATTACTGTCTAAGCAAAAGGAAAACCAAATGAAGAAACTCTATCTAGCGTCAGAAGCCAAGGAGACTTGGAGAGGGAGCCGGGAAGAACTAGGAAAAAAATAGGAAGAACATACTCTATAGCATTAAACATTAAAAGAACACCAGTACTAAAAAGATTGCAAAGTTGTCCAATTCTTGGAAGTACCACATATATTGATAGAAATTACATTCGTGAAGAATCTTTCCGACATCATTTTAGGAGGTGGGTTGAAAAACGTCAAAAAAACAATACTAAAATCGTTCATTCTTTAAAAAAATGACTTCAATATTTTAGCATGTATAAAATTGAGTATGACTCATATTAATAAGGCTTATAGTGTTTTCATCCCTGTAAGTTAGGGTGTTTTTTACTTTCGTCCCTAAATCTTCTTTATTTTTTGCATGAGTCCCCATATGTTCATTTCTCTTTAGCTTTAGTCTTTGTTGTCAATGGAACGTTAAAAAAAAGTTGAGGTAGCAGACGGTGATGACCTGACCTATGTTTTAGCATTTGTTTTATTTTTTAAAGAACACACGTGGGTATAGTTTTTAACGAGTGATCAAATTAAAAAGTACATTTTTGTTTGCTTCTCCTTCATTCCTCCTTCCATCTGTGGCTTCTTCTTCATCCTTCGCAATTTTCCCTTTGCTCCATCGACATCCATGGTCTCTTCTTCGTTCGCGTTCTCTCTTCATGTTCAAGCACTAGTTTGTGGTTGCAATAGAAACATGAAAATGTTTATGTCAAATTCTGTTGAAAACCCTAAAAGAATATTTTGAAAGTTTCAAAATTCAGGGTTAATGTTTGATTGCAGGTTGTTTATTTGGGACGATGAGCTTGAACGAAATCCAGCTAGTGATCTTAAAAGTTCAAGTGGTTGCAACTGCTCGCAAATGTTGAAGGATTTAGGATCCATTGTTAAAGAGATTGAGATTGACAAAAAGGCAAAGATGAAGATTAAGTTGGAGAAGGAGAAGAGGAAAGCGTCTATGTTGAAGTTATTGTTGGTTGTGTCATGGAGGTTCTTCTTTGCTTATCACAAATGGTGGTGAATCTCATTTGTTTATGTCTGTTTCTTTTTTTTTTGTTAGTCCTTGTAACTTTGATGTATTTTGAGATTGAGCCCTGTACAATATGATGAATGAAAAAGATGTTCTGGTTTTGGGCAGTTTATGTATGCAATTAAGTCAATTAAGGTATAGGCCATATCAAATTAGTAATAGGCTATATCAATTGCCCATAAAACTAACTTGAGCCAATTTATGTATCAAATTGATAATAGGCCATATCAATTGTCCATAAAACTAACTTGAGCCAAAATACAACATTAAACAAACTTGATATACTGCATTAAACTAACTTGATATACTGCATTAATCAAACTTGATAATGTATCATAAAACAAACCTGATATACTGCATTAAACAAACTTGTTAATGTATCATAAACACATTGTATCACACACATAAAGGCTTAAGCCAAAAAATACATTGTATCATAAACATTAAGTCTTAAGCCAAAATAACATTGGCATCAAAATACATAATAGAAAACTACAAGGCTTAAGTATGTCATTGTAGTAAAGTTGTTCAATAAAACATAAGTCAAAACAGGTCCAATGACTACAAATTTCATGGCACCCCCTTATGCCGAGTTACTTCCTTCTCCTTTTAGCAAGGTTACTTCCTTCTCCTCCTATGCATTTGTTGCTTCTCAGCACCCTTGGTTCATCCCTTTTCCTCAACGCCAATTTCTTTGCAACCTTTTGTTTGGGTTGTTTTGCCTACAAAGACACAATGAAGCAGATTCATTAAGTCAATTAAAACTGAGAACATACACATTATGTCAATTAGTCAGTAGCATGACTCGACTGGTTTAGGAGGGGCAGAAACAGATTCCTTAGGAGGAGGTGCATGAACAGGTTCATTAGGTGTAAGTTCAACCTCTGAAACAAGTGCAGATAGAATGTAGTTTGGTTATGAGTCACCAACTCCTTGTGAAACCATTACGGATGCAACCTCAACAATTCGAGCACGGACACTAGCAACATTAGTTGGAGCTGGATTCTGGGAAGTGAGATCACTGACATTGGGTTGAGGTTGTGTTCTTTCAAAAGCTACACAAAGATCTGCTGCAAGCATTTCAAACTATGTGTCCACATCACATTGTGTTTCTGGCTGTTCTTCAGTGGGAGGTTCATGATGAGGTTGTTGTTGTGCAGTAGAAGCTTCAGAGTTGTGTTGTTCAATAGAAGCTTCAAGTTGTGTTGTTTGTGTAGCATTTTTCTTTGGCTTTTACTGCACACAGAGTCGTTTTTCATTATACTTTATCTCTCTTCCATTTAACACCGACCATTCAGTTATTGCCTCCTAAATTTCAGTTAGAGATACAAACTCCAAACCAATTTTGAACTTGTAGTCCTTGTCTAACTCTTCCATCTTAAACCTAGAATATTTTAGTCCTTTCTCTCCATCTGATGCATCTGGATCACTACTGCCTAGATCATCACTTAAATAATTAGTTTCAAACCCTTCATTACTAACACTAACTCCACTTGATGAACCCATGTTAGCATCAACATTTCTTATCTTTGTTGGAGTATTCTTGTGTTTTCTTACTTTCTACTTAACCTTCCAGTTGGTTTGTCTACAACATTAAATTCATCATCCATGTCAATGGCCCTTTCATCCTCACTGTCCTCAAATGATAAACCATTATAACCACTATCATCACTATCATTTCATTCAACACCATCAACATTCTCATCAATCTTGACAGCTTCATCAACATTTAGGTTGTCAGCATCACCATCAACATTATCAGCAATACCATATCCAACATTATCACTAACATCATCCTCAATAAAATTATCAGCTTCAACATTATCAAGATTATCAGCATTATCCTTAACATTATCAGCATCATTAACGATTTTATCAGCATCATTAACAACATTATCAGCTACAACTACTATATGCTCAACAAATAAATCCACACTACAACTAGTTTCAACGGTTTTTTCATAAACAGCAACAGTATCAATATCACTAACTATCCTTGCATGCTTACCCGATATACTGATATACCACCATAACCAATAATAAGTGGACAAAGCCACTATTTAAACCTATTAATAAACATCTACCATTAATAAATGCATGTATTCCCCTCAAGTTTGGGGCCGATGGTAGAGATGATATCAATAATTGTGTCTAAAGAGAGATTTATATGGAAAAGCAAGTCGATGAGTGGCTATAAATACTCTGTTAAACATAAAAGCAAAGAATTTATAGTACAGGTTTACAATATTTGAACTGAGGGGGAATGATGAGGTGAATATTACACAAGCAAAAGAAATCAATAGCACACAAAAGGAACAGATACATTTTTACACCAATGAATCAAGCCTTGCTGAACTCCCGTTTCATAGCATACTGTAATAACTATCTTCCTCGCTCATCCCCAGGTAACACAATATAGCTAATACAAACACAAAGAAAGAAGAGAGTTCCATTGCAAAGGCTGCCCAACCGATCACCCCGGCATGCTTTAAAATGCTCGGAATGGCAATGCCTCCGAGAGTTGAGGCTCCTGTCAAGAACTTGGCAATATTCACCCAGCTGCTCAGCATATCACAAAACAAAAAGAGAAATGATTATCCATTCATCTCAAGATAGGATTTTACACTATTTTCCTTTCTGAAGCATTCCGATCTTATGAATAGCAAACTAATTTAACAAGTTGTATTATCAAAGTCGAATGATCTTACTTCTTAATTTACCCAAAACTAACTGCTTACTTACGTATTATCAGATTCGGAAAACATGGAAGAACCATCAGACCCAGCAAAGAACAGCAAAGGCATTGGAAGAAGCACATACGATATCGCTGCAAGAGAATAAATCATCAGACATGATAACAAGTTACCACCAAGGGGATATTCTCCCCCTAACAATACCATCAATGAAAAGATACAAATATGCATTATACTAGAATCATATTTCAACGATGTTTTATCTCACCACTAAGCATCGGCCACCAATTACTATACAAAGCACAAGCCTGACAACATAAAACAGACATGAATATACGACATTTATCAAGAAGTTGTCATCTTTTATACATATAAAACCAGAAAGAAAAACAATACTAACCAAAATTTGTAAGACAATTCCTCCCGAGACTAAAATTGCCAAAAAAACCAGCTTCCCTGTGTTCAAGCAGAAACGCATATATCCCGGCATGTCATCCATCTTCAAGTCACCTCATGTTACAGAGAGCAAGCAATATTACTGAAACAAAGATCTTGTTAGCACTATCGCGAATCAACACAGTCAAAAGCAATATGAATTTAATCCAATTGATTCAATCATAATTGGGCATACAAGATATACAACACCATTTCAACTTGCTTTACAATGCATATGAGACAATTCAAAACCCTAATATGAAATTACCAATAACCAAAACCAGAAGAATTATAAAATTGAATAATCATATCACAAAATTGCATCTGATTATAGTAATTTACGAAATTGAATCGATGAAACAACCTAATAACTTGATAAAAGTAAGTAATAGGAAAACGAAATGATAGCGATGGAGATAAGTACGGTAATTTCCCTAAAAAGTACGAATTTTGAAAAATTGTACCTCAAAAGGCAACAGAAATTGAAATTGAAACGCTTTCTGTGATGATAATATAGAGATATATCAAGTAGACGTCGACAGCATCGGTGCGTATATGGCACAGAAGAATCGGATGCAGAGCAGCGTAGCGGTCCTGACCTCACCTCACCTCACCTAACTTTCTGAATAGAATAATAGAGGTATAAAGTTTTTAGATCATTTTTAGAAGATGAAAATAAATTACAGTAAAAACTCTTTCTTATTTTGAATATTTTTTCTTAAATAATGTTTTTTATCACAATTTTTTAAAGTTATTATGGTAACCTTTATATATTGTATAGATTAAAGAGAATATAATTTATTTCTGAATTAATAAATATATTTTTTAATAATTTATAATAAAAGAGTAGTTATGTAAGACGAATCATTTTTCAAGTAAATCATACTTTGGTGAAATTTAAAAATTTCATGCTAACCTAAGACCGAGGAACACGTTAAAAAACTTCAAAATAGAAAATGTGAGAAAAATATTTACTTTTACTTTTAAGAAGGTCAGTGTACTTGTTTTAAAGTAAAATTAGGAAGAAAATCATGTTGTCACACAGACTTTCGTATGCATTCATATCTCATCTTATTTGTAAGCTATAAATTTATTTTTCTCTCTATAAATATTTACATAATTTCAAATATCTACTACTCTAATATTATGCATCAACTTTTAAGTATTACTCTGTATTTATAATAAATTTGTACAACTTTTTTTATTAACTTCAATCATGATTGCCATAAGATTTCTGATTTGACCTGATCAGAAGAGAATAACTGGACTGCCACGTGTTTTTGACTTGTTGCCTGTTCACCACTGTTGAAGAGGAGAGGGGGTGTACCTGCAAGACACTCTGATGTCAAAGTAAGAAATTTGGACATAGTGAAAGCAAATACAGAAAGTAGGTTGAGAAGAGAATATCTGACCCTCTTGTGAAAAAGGGTATTTATAGAGAGAACCCAACGCAGGGCCAACAGTCATTTGAGTTGGGCTGGATGGCCAGGGTCAACCCAAGTGACTGCTAGAGCTTGTGTGGCGTAGTGAAGATCAGAACGTGATATTCGCCCTAGTTCAACTGCTCCGTAAAGTCCGGAGAGTGGGTTGACTTGCTCTTTCAGAGGTGGGCAGTTGGTTGATGACGTGTCCCCACTGAGGGGAGCACGTGGAGGACGTGTGAGGCACACGTCTTTCTGCCCGACGGGACAATGTCTGGTCGACGGGAGCCTCGTGCTCGACACAGATGAGGGAGACTCTTTTGGGTCTTTCACCAAGCATAGGTGGGCTGGGCCTTCCCGGTCAAGTGGGGGTCCCGGCCAGAACAATTTCAATCTTTCAAAAATTTTAAGTTTCCAATCTTTGAGGTTTGACACATCATTCATGTGTTTGCATATTCCATCTTTAGCTATGAATATTTCCTGCATACAAACATGCAAAAATTATGCATCAAAATAATAAAAATTATGATTAAATCTTGTGTAAAAATTCTGCACTAAAACATTGTTAAAATTATGCATAAACATGATAAAAAATTCTGCTTTGGCATTATAAAATTCTGCATTAAAACATTGTTTAAAATTCAGAATAAACATGATAAAAAATTCATCATTGACATCATTAATATAGAATCACATAACCACATGATAACATACAACATTCAAGCAAAATTCAACAACATTAAACATGAGCATTCATTCAATTTCATGCATAAACAAAAAAAAACATTGGCATAGTAAAATTCTGCGCTAAAACCTTGTTTAAAATTCAGCAAAAATATAATTAAAAAATTCAGCATTGACATCATTAACATATGATCACATAACCACATGATAACATACAACTTTCAAGCAAAATTCAACAACATTCAGCATGAGCCTTCATTCAATTTCATGCATAAACCAAAGAAAATTCAGCATTTATTGCACAGTTTCATCAAGCAACCAAACATGGTTTGATCATTACAAAAATCATTCGAGGTTCATCACTAATTATTCGAATAACATATCCCGAAGTTGAATATCAAAGTTGTCAAAAAATGGAAAGTGTGCGCATACACGTAACTATTTATGATTTGCTAAGCTTCTTTATATATAAAAAAGATAAGCTAATATAATTCAACCAATGTTAAACATTTTTTTCCAAATAGTATATTAACCAACAAATTTAACATGGCTGCCAATAATAATATAACGTATTTTTTATCAATTGTATAAGGCCACATGTACACATCTTCAAAATTATCTTTCATGTAAACCTACAACATTGCATCAACCAGCCAATAACAACAAACTGCATCATACAACTACATCAAGAAATATATCAAATTATATATTGATTATTCAAAATTGTAAAAACAACCAAATAAAGTTTGTGGCATGTACATATATAAAGTAAAAATGAATAATTAATTTGGATCACAAAAGATAAAATAAAAAAGATTACCAACTAACAAAGTGCTTGGAAAACCTTCTTGTATACAACATTTTTAGTAGTTAAACACAATGCATTCTCTTTGTCATGCACTAAGATTTTCATACCACTTTTGGTCTTAACTCTTGAAATTACAGCATACATTTGACCATGACTAAAAACAGGAGTAGGAAAATACAATATGACATTATCAAGTGATTGACCCTGAGATTTATTAATTGTCATTGTCTATGAGACAATTATCAGAAATTGTCTCCTAATCAACTTAAATGGGCAAGGTGACTCATAAGGTGACATAGACATTCAGAGAATGTAAAAAAAGTTACATGTGTTCTTTTCAGACATAATTCTTGCCTAAATGACGTGATTTGCTAACCCTTTATTAATTAATCTTGTTCCATTGCACAATCCATCAGTTTGGTCCAAATTTCTCATTAACATATTGGAGATACCGACCTTCAATTTGATCCTATGATTTGGTAGACCAGATGTTCTCAGTTTACTAAGAAATTCTAGAGTTAGCACTTCATATGCTTTAGTATAACTTGTATCAGTTTTATCAATTAAATTGAAACTAAAATACTCTTTCTCTTCTAAAAAATGGTTTAAAATCAAAACATTAAGACATTAGTAAAATAATTTTATACAACATATTGTTGTATGTATAAATAGACTAAAGTTAATGAATTTTTGCCTAGTATCAAGTCCAATACATAATGATTGGTTTTGTCCACAGCTTCAATGCTTGAAGCAAGAGTTGTTTTTCCTTGTAAGAATGCAACATCTTGGAATTTTTCCAACAAATTCGGATATGTGCTATCAACAATAGCCTTTATAGGATCATCGAAATTAGACATTAATAGCTCTTGAGGAATTTTTATATCAACCAACTCATCATTTGGTTAAGAAATCTTACCATCCCCAACATTTAAAATCCATTTTAAAAATTCGGCTAGTTCATTGGAACTTGTATTATTTGTTCCCTGCTGAAGTCTCATATTTTTTGTTAGTGTTAAAACCTGACAATAGTCTCATACATACGATGAGTTAATTGATGAATGAATAACATTAGAATGCCCTGCTCTTGGAACAATTAGAAGAATCTGTCTCAAATCTCCTCCAAATACAACAACTTTCCCACCAAAAATTATATTTGCAAAACCCTATTTGCTCATGATATCTTTAAGGGTTTGATCCAATGCCTCAAAGCAGTTTTTATGAGACATAGGCGTTTCATCCCATATTGTCACATCAGCTGCTTCAAATAGCTGTGAGTGTTCGGTGTCTTTGTCAATATTGCAAGTAGAACTGTCAAGTGTTGGCACGAGTATTTTGAACATTGAGTAGGCAGTTCTTCCACCTGACAATAATAATGAAGTTATGCCACTTAAAGCAACTGTTGTGAATCTTGTTATGAATTACGACAAAATTCAATATCAATTTGTGAGGGGAAGAATAATAGCAACCAAAATAAATGGTCTTTAACAATAACGTTTCGTACACCGATAATATAACAGACTAAGGCAAGAAAATCTGAAGGTTTGTTTACCTAGTTCGATCAAACAATCTACACTGGGGAACAAAGCAGCTCTCTAATTCACTATAATCAGAAAGTTATTATAAGAGATTACAGATGAGTTACAAGAAAATAGCCTTCACCTTCAGGTTCCCAAGAACAACTCTGAAGGCGCCCAAGAACAACCTTATTTTCTACCCAAGTGTTTTCATACCTCTTCAACTCTCAATATATGAATCACTCAAACCTAAGGTTTTCTTTGTGCATAGTTGAAATCTTATATTATACCTTTAAACTCTTGATCTCCTTTATTGGTGAAAACTCTAAGATTGTCACACACTAAACATATAAGAGATACTTATTTACAATAGTAAATACCCAACAAACAAAGCCCAAAATCACATGGATCCATGGACCGAATCAAAAAATCCCCAAAACTAAAAAACATTATTCACCGTACGAAAAACACTATTCACCGTATGTAAGTCACTATTCATTAGTACAGATAGCACTATTCACCCGTACGGACTGCACTATTCACCGACCGGTTTTTTTTCTCGACTTTTTGTCAGATTTTCACGATAAATCTCCAAAATATGTTTTCTTTCTCTTCATCAACAAAGATTTTAAGGCAC